AATACAACACGTCTGAAAAGAATGAGAGTACATCTGAATCAGTTTGAAGTAAGCGTGTCAGAGATAATAGCTTTTCATGCAATCATAATCAATTGCAATAATGAGCAACACCGCGGTCGAGGACAGTGGTTGTCATATAGAGTGAAGTTACCCGTTTTGGGTAATTTGGAGGTGTCGAGGAGGGGGAGAGGGGTAACGATGGCCTGCAAGATCATCAAAAGGGGTAATGGAGCACCCGAACGTGAGAAGCACTGTGATAGATATATGATATTATTTAGTTCAATAGATAATGTTTTCACATCTCAAATCATGCAAGTTTGTGGTGAGTGCATAAGGTCTTGAGGTTTTCGACTTTTCATTGTCCATTAACGGCGAATTTTTTTCTTTTCGTCTGATCAGTTGTAGAATTAGATCAACGCTTTCTGAGTGGTTTTTAGAGAGCAACTATGGGTAATTCGATGCTTACATTGCTCAGATTCAACAACAGCAAATTTAAAAATCTACACTTTTTGATGAGTAATTATATAAATCTCAGTGACTGTATAAACCTCAGATGGTGTTCATTCGAAATACTAACACAGAAATGCAAAATTTACTCCAGTGAGAACGAACTTGTGATCGATGCATTTCTGATCTATTTGCAAAGGGTGATGCAAATTTGAAAGGACCATCCGAATTGCTCTCTACCAAATTGAAGGGATGGCAATAATCTATCCAATCGCAAAATCATCATCGTTCATCAAATTGTTCAAAGCAAATGAATTCTCTGTGGGTTTTTTGAGGAGAAATCAGAATTTCAAAAGTGTTTTCAGTTTATTCATGATGATTATTTGAAGCATGCGAAAACATCAAATCGCTTAAATACATCTGAAATCAACAGTGCAAACTCATTCAAATTATCATCGCACTGTAAAATTTGTGGCATTAATGAGCAGTGGTGATATGCAATATCCTGAATGACACTATCAATTGGACTGTGCTCACGTTCAGGACATGAACTTAATAGGCATCTCTAAAAACCGAACTTTATCAGAAGACGTTTGATCTTAAAGAATTCTTTTTGAAATTTTATCGATTGCTGCAATTTGGAGATAATTACATGTATCGTAGTGGGATAAACTTGCTTGCTGATCAGTTTTGTTGAGCAGATTCTGCGTTATCACGCTCAACGACGTATTATTTTGCATTAAAATTAACAAGCACGACCACCTGATTACTGATTATGACTAGCATTGTCCTCATGGGACATTCCTCTACCGTGGGCAGAATTTACTTGAATGAAAATGTGCAAGCGGTCGTGTAAGTAAAAATACAAGGATGAAATAATTTTATCTTATTCATCTTTACAATGTTTCAATAACAAGTCAATTTATCACTGTCGATTCATCATTTCTAAAATCCAAAAATTCATTCATGAGGGAAGATGAGTGAAAGAAATGAGGGAAGAATGTCGTGAATTGCGTTGTGTTATATCGGTTTAACAGTAACCAAAAGCAATTTTCGTCTTATTTTACTGATGAATTTCAGCAATTCAATTGAATTTCTTCTATTCATCATTTACATTCATCCAGTGTTCATGTACGATTAAATGTTAATAAATATAATGCCATACTCGTTTTTTCGACGTTAGAAGTGCGTTCAGAATTGCTGTGGATACATATGACAACAATATGCATGAATAAGGTGAAAAGGTCATTGCTCTAGACTGCTTCATGAATTGTGAGCAGATGGATGCGGTAATGAGAATGTTAATGAATTTTTAATACTTTATCCATCTCAATAACAATATTCATCCATCAAATGTTCATTTGGAAATATTGAAATCAACTTATACATTCATGATAGATCACACAAGGCATGGCATGTCATTTTGCTTGAATAGACAATGATAATGGTTTATTATCATCATCCGAACGTCATTGCTCTTGGATACGGCATACATGCGCTAATTACACTCTGTCAGTTGCCAGATCTGTCAGCATTCTCAAATGTATATTCTGATGATTGATTGGAGCTCAGCAAAAAAATGATGAACACAAAATTCTACGAATGTGCAAACTTATGCAAACTTTCACAAAAAATATAAAGTTCTACTGATGAATTTTAATCGCCTCAACTGATACAATGCAACAAATGCATAAATCCATCACTCTAGTCGTAAGTTATCTATCATTTGAAGTAGATTGATTATCACAGCAACAGCAGTTTGCGCACAGTCGAAATCAAGCTGGCCTCAACATTTCGCTCACCATACTTCACTCCGAAACGGGTGCAAGACGTGTTTTGGCGTCAGGTGTTGCACTAGGTCAGGATCGCACACAGGAACTGGATGTTTCGGACTGCTGCAGAGCTCATGCGCTGAAAGACAGGGTCATTTTCACATTGAAAAGCTTGCCACCGAAACGTTGTAGTCCACCCAAAGCGATTCGCATTGGCCATAACTGTTGCTACAAATAGGTAGATAATGAAACATGGCTCTGCTGAGCGGACTACTGATTGAATCAACTGATGCCTATAGTTGAAAAAAGAAGACTCAGTTCTGCATCTCGCTCCAAATTTGTGAAATTTTGACTTCAGCAGTTCCAACTCCAACTCCAAATGAACAGATGCTCTTGTAAGGTGATGAAACTGAGAAAATGAAGGCAATTTGAATGATTACAATATGAGCACTAAATTTGCATTGATACTTAATCATTGGATGTATGGTATGGTATTATATACAAACAAATAAAGAATGAGTTATTGAAATTATGTGTACATTTCTAGGACAAACGGAATGTAGCGCTTAACGAGTGTACGCATAATATTTTATTTTATTTGCTTGTATGTATGTATTCGAAGCACTGCAATTACTTTCATAATATGGGCATGCAGCAATAAAAGAGAATAATGCATTTGAGACGCGAAAATGCTTCGAATCGTGATGATGTGTAGAGCAGAACAGGATGAGAGCAGAATGAATTCTAATGGAATATGTACGTACGTACGTACCTCTTACGAGAATAATGCCTAATTCCTGCCTAATATTAAACATTCATAATACATCGTTCAGATGATGCATCTGCCAATATTCTTTCATGTCCTAAGATACTTTATCAGTATTTTACTGCATAAATTTGTAGATTGAAGATTTTCCGACGAAACAAACTAATTGCTGCTTATTGTAATTCCCTGTTCATGTTCTGTCTCGATTCAATTCTTCATAGGAAATTTTGATGAGTGAAATTTCATAGATTCTGAATGAAAGTAAAAACTTCATTCTTGGAATGAATGAATGCATTTTTGATTGATTCGTCCACAGTACATGACACCAAGCAATCGAATAATTCGAATATTTCTTCGAATGAATTCTCACTCAATCACAAGAATATTTCGCTTCTTCTGATATGGTGATTATTTATTCTCATAAGCAACAAGCAATCCTGATTATTTTTCTCGTTTCATTCATATTGCACATGCACATCGACGTCCGATGCAAAATTTGATCTCTCAATAATATTCGATCAATCAACGAAGTATGATGACCGCATCATCGAAACGCATTCATTTTCAAGAAGCATTAATTTTGATACATTCAGAAAAATGTCTAAAGTTCCAACAGTTACTCGAGCGAATGTTTCCCGACATTGCTTTAGAGTGATTGAATCAAATTTCTGGTGATGAAGTACAACTGATTTGCTCCTTCCTAAAATGTTTGTTTACGTAATCCGTAGGTTTGAATGCGTCATCGTTTCGTTTTATTTGAAATCTGCCCTCAAAATTAATCTCTTTTAAGAATGGTTGGTTGTTGTTGCTGTTGTTCACCTTTAATACCATCATTTTCATCAGATCTGCAATCCTCTTAATTCTTTTTATTACTTTTAGATTCCCCATCATTTGTACTTATTATACTTACTCGGTTCCTTTTAATTCTCTTCCCAAATCTGCCTTTTTTTGCATTCCTCTGTATCCATATCCGCTCATTGAAATTTGACATTTCATTCAACCTTATCATCATTCCTTCTGAAAAATTCTATATGGAGGCTCTGAAAAGGTGCAG